GAGCACACGGAGCTCCTGGGATTTGTACATCTCTGTTTTAATGTACGATTTTGTTTTTATAAATATAAATAAAGGGATGCACAGATACCAGTTTTGCGAGTACGAGTACTGGTACTTGCCGAGTACTTACAAGTACGAGTACTGATACATTTTTGTTTATTGTCATGTGACCGTTTTTCTAAAACAATACAGACTAATGATTTCCGGACAGTGGTGGAGCGCCAGAGCCAGGTCCCAGCTGCAACCGCTGCAACCCTGGTAGTTCTCATGAAAATGCCAAGTATCTGCACTGGTACTCGAAAAGTATCTGTGCATCCCTAGTACTGAGGTACGAACCTGGGGCTAGGGCAATAGTCTGTAGGAGCCTGGGCAGTGCATCTGAGATATACTGATAGCAATTGCAGTGCTTTGCAGACTAATATGCATAACATCTATAAATGTATATTTTTTGTCATTATTGTGTGCAAACGTATTATTTTTTTTAAAGGTGCACTATGCCTTTAAGGCCCATAGTTGTATGCAGATTAGGTGTGTATTTTGTGTATTGTATGGTACTTATTGTTGGAAATGGTCAAATCAGTTTGCACATAAGATAAAGTCATGTATTGCAAACTTTTTGATTCCACTAAATGTACACTGAGATGAGCGAAATGCTTCGCACATAAGGCAAATCAATAAATTACAATGTTTTTAAAGATTTGCCTAAATATATTCATAAAAAATATTCTAATCTGCAGAAAAATCATAATATGTATTAATCACAGTTCTCATAAGTAAGAAATTAAATATGTTATATCTCTAATACCAGACAGCTCTGCATGGAAATATTCAGGCAAACCTAGACAATTCACAAATTTTTATTTGGCCTGAATACTTCCATACATATCTGTCTGATGTGTGGAGAATCACACAATTCAGGATCCATACAAATGTGATTAATAAACTGCAAGATTCTCTGCAGACTGGATAAGTCGGCATGGCTATATTTAGGCAAATGCAAGAAAAGTGACTTGTGATTAACCCTATGTACAAATCAGTTCAATTATCCTTATTCATGGGGAACGACAAAAAGAAAGCTGGACATGCCAGCTTCAGTGACGCCCCAAAGATAATAGCAGAACAGGCTGAAGCATAGATTAAAAAGCTAGAATCACTGTTTAGCAAGATGTAGGATTAACCTATATGTTTTGATTGCATAAAATTATAACTAACGTAATTATAATGAGCCCTGATATACTAAAATTAATGTATTAGCTACTAATACTCTGATCTTTTCAAAAACATTTGGTAATTTAATTAACATACAAAACAACATAAAACAAATATATAGAATATCTGACATTCATCTACATGATCATTTTGCAGATAATTTCACAGATTGTTCTCAGTGAACTATAGATAAATGCGACATTAATCTGTTTATGATGAGCACTGCCTGATTGCTAGTCCTACAGCACCACTACCTGGTTTATTTATGTATAGCATGCAGCAGTTATAATGTACTGTAGGTTCTATTGCTGATAAGCATTCGTGTTCACAGTAAATCATAGCATACCCATAATGTTGACTATAATATTCATCATGACAGCAAAAAAAACACAATACCAATATTTTTCTAAAACATCTAGAAATCTTCAGATGCAAGGGGAGTAATAGCATGTAACTGGTCAATGACTTCACATGATTGTTGCTTGATATTTATGAACAGTAGCAAACATTCCCCTCCTGACAGATCTAAGGGTAAATGACAATCTGACAGGTTAGAAAACCATGTGCAACATTAAAACTCACTCGCCTTTATCAAAATTTGGAGCAGTTGCCATTAGTAAACAATCAGTTTTCTGTTCAGTTTGTTTAGTTAAGCTTTAAAAATGAAAGATAAAAGCTGCTTTAGTTGCTGTGCACAGCTGTTGAGGATTTTGTCTGCTCCAGTTTTGATAAATTCCCCTTACTGTCCTTTAATGAGAATAAATCCTGGAAAGAGTGATGTCCACCACAGCAGACATGTGCAACGGCAAAAAAATAATTTAATTTTGCTTCGTTTTGATTCGGATTATGCGTTATTTCGTTTTTCAGGATTTGGGTCGGAAAGTCAATTTGTTTCGGGATTTGGACAAAATTTGTTAGCGGTAGTCTGTACGAATGTTCGTTTGTGGACACATTTTCTTTGCAGTAAAGTGACATTCATTTTTTTTTACATTTTGCAGAAGAGAAAAAAAAGCAGTTAGTTTTGTCGGGTTCGGACAGTCATCGTGCGGCGGGACTTTTTTTATTTCGGTGGGGCGGCGGGCATCATGCGTCATGATTGACGCTGGTATGGCGCCAGGCGGAGGGACGTTCACTTGTTCCCTCCCCCTTTCCTGCCCTGCCAGGCCTATGCTTGGATTAAGGATCTGGTTGGGAATTTTCCCAGTGGGGGGGGGGGGTAAAATTCCTACCAGACCTAAAGGGCCTGTTATGAGTTTTGGGGGGAACCCCACACACATTTGTTTTACTTTTAAACTTGGGGTCCCTCCTACCATTCCTTCCAGACCTAAAGGTTCTGGTATGGAACAGGAGGGGGACCCCCACCATTTTTTTCTTTTTAACTTGTTCACATTTGCGGGGAGAATGGTTTGCTTCAGCAGACTGTTCTCCCCGCTTCGGCTGTGTGTTCGGATCAGCCTAGCCGAAGCTGATGCGTTTAGCTTGGCTGAGCCGTTCTGCTGCCTTCGGCTGCCTCACTTGTGTAGTGAGCCAAAGGATCAGCCAAAGCTACGGCTATAACCTTCGGCTTTTTAGT